CAATTGAGCTGTCTCTGTTTATGATGAGAAGCTTTATTTTTGTAAAAATGCTCAATTGCTTAAACAACACTTACATGCAGTGTAGTAATGCTCGTTCTCCAATCATCTTAGTGAAAAGAACCGACAACTGGTCAGTTCAAAGCTTGCTTTGATATTCTCTTCTATGCTGGGTGTACAACCAGTGGGAGCAGTTTAGCCTTTTACGCTAGTTTGGGCAATCTTACTGCAAGCTGCTGCAAGCCATAAATAACTGTAACTCCTTTCAAATTCAACGCAGCATTTTGCATTTTCATGCGCAAGCTTTACGCTCCTTGTTTCGGAAAAGTGCACGTTTTCATGAGCCACAATACGGTCAGATTCCTCTGGACTACAAACCTTTACCCACATTTAGATCCTTATTTAAAAGTTAACTAAAAAAAGAACTTTGAAGGCATCATTCTTCTCTCAAAAGCCGCTTGTAGAGACTACTCGAAACTGAAAGCTAAGCTGAAATCCAGTTTGTGATTGACAGCTGTCACTTCGTTAGCCAATCAAATTATTTGAACAATTCTAACAAGGGTTGTGTTTGGCTTATTTTAGCGTGCTTTATCAGAGAACAGAGAACAGAGCACAGCTGACGCCACTTTTACTCGTTTGGAAAGTAAAGTTTGGTTTGAAAATTCAGCCGATTGCGTGGGGAAATTATTGGATTCTTTATCTTAAAACAAATAAAGAAGCCTCGACAGTGCTCCGTTGTGTTGTAAAGCACTTAGAAAGTGCACTGTTGTAAAGCACTTAGGCCCGGTTCATATGTCGCATTTCTGTCGTGTCGAATTCAATTCAACGAATTAAATTCGACAGAAATTCGACGTCTGAATCGGCTGCCGCATTTCTGCCACACGTTCGACTGGTGTTGTTGCATTATCCAACAGAAATGCGACACCGATCCAGACATCGAATTTCTGCCATGTCGAATCTAATGCATACATTATGTTAATGTATTGAGCATGCGTAAATGTTTTCCTGCCAAAGAAAAAGAAGAAACTTGGCCATTCTCGACCCAATGCAACCTGAACATATTGCAAGACATACTGCTCTTTTGTCAGCCTTCTCCTTCTCGGACAAATTTTTCGCAAAATTAAAGTCCTTCGTCACTCGGTATTTTCGTCCGCCATATTGAATACTCTACGTTTAAAACATTTTCCGATGGCGGACATACCCGACAGTATAAATTCTGAATTAAGTGCGACACAAGTGCGACGTATGAATCCACAGTCGAATTTCTGCCGCACTTAACTGAATTGAATTCGACACGGCAGAAATGCGACGTATGAACTGGGCCTTAATTAAGCGTACAGATGAAAGATGAATTAAGTCAAGTTAATGACCTCAAAACTTGAAGAAACGAGCGTAAAAATACCTTGCAGACCAAGACAGCCTTCTCCCTGGTTTGTGTTCTAAAATGAAATGCAGTTTGTGGAGATCTGAGAGTATAATAAAGAAGTGCACAAACCTTCGCACTAAACAGTGTTTGCAAAACAAGCCCGAGTACGCAACTTGCTCTATGTCTGCTCCTGGTGCGCTGAGCTGCATTATCGGTAGTCACGTGGAGAGATAGCATAACCATTGACGTCATTTTCAATCATGTGAACAAATCGTTGTGCAACGCAATCATTGTGTTCACGCAGTGTTACGCAATCCTAATCGAGTTTGTACCGAAATGTTTCGGACGGACTTGTTCTCTCATTTGCTAGACTACAAAACAGTCGTTTTCGGACGTTTTCGGAAAGCGTGAAGCGCCGTAAGCGCGATCCTCGCGTGTGAAGCGCGCGAGCCTCACACGCCCGTATATTTTTAGCGTCTCTCCCCATTCTCCCTCGCCGTTCTTACACTCTCTGCAGACTTTTCGTTCGAATATTGACCGTCTCTCGCGTTCGCAAAAAATACGACTGTTTTGCAGTCTACTGCAGTCTACTGATTTGCTCCCCCCAACCCCCACCCCCACAACAGGGACAAATTACATCATGAGCGCATTCGCGCAGCCGTATAGATTCGAAGTGTGTATGATTTCCGAAAAGCTGCAAATATTTTGACCCGTTAGCCTTCGACGACTTCGACATACATACATACATGCATACATACGCATACATACATTTACAACAAGTAACTAAAGCCTGCGTTATCAGGAAGGAATGGTTATGTAGCTCGGCAACGGCAAATGGCCATGAGTTGTGGTAAGAAAACAAAGCTTATGTGTAGCTCGGCAAATAGCCATGCACGATGACCCTCAGATCTATGGTCAGAAAATAAATTTTTCGATTTGTAGCTCAGCAAATCCGTGGTTATGACTGGTTTTCAGAAAACAAACTTGCCTTGTTAGCCTTGTTGTGTAACTCGCCAAAAGGCCGTGTTTGTGGTCAGAATGGCCGTGTTTATACTAGAGGACGCATTATCACTATTATCCGTCCAGAAGGATAATGCGTCCTCGACTGGCCCTTTTTTTAAAGACGCATTATCCGTGTGGACGAACTTGGGCAAACATTTGTAGTTGGTCTGGTTATCCGTCTCTAGTATAAAGACGGGCACAAGACGCATTATACGTCTGGACGAACTATCCTTCGAAATGCGTCTGGAACGACGCACTACGAGAGACAGTTCGTCTTTAAGGAATAGAAAACATGTACGGTGTTTCTATCGAGTTTTAGTATAACTCTACTAGCGTTCTATCACGAATGTCGTTCTCTGATTGGCTACGCTACTCACTATCTAGTCTGTGATAGATAGTGAATAGCATTGTCAGTTCTGACAATGTGACCAGCTCCCAGTTGGCTTGATAGCTCAGTTGGTAGAGCACTGCACCGGTATCGCAGAGGTCATGGGTTCGAATCCCGTTCAGGCCTGAATTTTTTTCAGGCTTTAATTTCACAATTGCTTAAGGTTACAGTATACCTTCGGGTCGGCAATTTTCTTCAAATTTGGCTTTTTGGGTCAAAGTAGTGGTCGAAGATTAATCTCGAATTTCTGAAAAAAAATTTGAAAAAGGTTAAATATTGGCGGAGAAATGGCGGTTTTTCAATTTCGCCAGAAGTAAAACTTGACCTCTTGATTGACTATGGTTAGCCAAATGTTGCAAAATTCAACAACTTGGACCTTCATATTCAACAACTTATATTTATGTTCAACAACATATATTTATATTCAACATT